CGTTTTTCTTCCACCCATACACTTCGGCACTTTCTCAAATCCAATCGACTTCAGACTTGGTACACACATAGACCACGACACAGAGATGGTCCCACAAGATTTGTGTTATGGAAGAATCTTTTAAAGCATTCAGAGCTCGGTTGTTGGAGAGTTTTAGCAATTTTTAATTGTTATAGCATGTGACCCGTTTTGTAGGGTTTTGTCATTTTTATCAGCCCTTTTTTCAGCCCTTTTTATCAGCTCCTTTTATTTTTCCTTTTTACCTGGATGGGAATTCCAATTGATTTTAGTCCTGTTTTTTTGTGTAATTTGTATTTGTTGTCACATGGGGCTCGTTTTGTAGGGTTTTGCAATTTTTATCAGCCTTTTTAACCCCTTTTCTCAGCTTGTTTTAGCCCTTTTCATAAGCCCATTTTTTCGGACCTTTTTACTTGGATGGAAATTCCAATTGTCTTTTGTCCTGTTTATACAGTTCTGAGGGTGGCCATTGTTTTGGGACGTTTGTTCTTTTTGGTGTGGAGGGGGTCTTGTCGATATTTTTCTTTTTTTCATTTCGGTTATCAATATCGATTTTTATCCGAACCTTTGTAATTTTACCTTAAATGTAATCAGGGGTATGGATGAGCACATCATTTGATGACAGTTTTTATACTTTTGTTCATTCCGTGACAGCCCCTGCTTACATTTAAGATTGTAATGTCTAAAGATTTAAAATAAATAAAAATAAAATAGTTATCTTCACGTCATCTAGTGTCAGTTTACAGAGTCATTTCAAACAGCCGAAACAGTTGCTGTTTGTCCAAAAACACTCATCTAGTGGTAATATATTTTTTTTCAGGCTCCTGTTTGAGTGGGTGTGACTCCGGCCCTCATGGACCGTGCTATTGCGATAATCTGTGTATGGGGCTCGACGACTGCTGTGCGGATTATGTCAACCATTGTTATGCTGCGGGGACTACCACGTCGCATACCAACTTTGGTAAGTAATGTTGGCTCACTGGCAGATCACAAGGGGTTAGGTTTGTGTCTTATCACCTTTATTGTTTTCTTTGTACACTAGTGATTTTTGTCCTGAAAATATATCATCTGTCACGACAAAACATGCTGATGACACCGCCTCACCTGGGCTGATCACCAATAATTCTGAGGCGGAGTACATGTATTGGTATGATATAAATTAATTTGTCGAGTGGTGCGACAGAAATCATCTGATTATAAATGTACAGAAAACCAAAAAGATTATATTTCATTTTCGGAGGACCAACCATAAAGGAACTGGTTGAAATTGACAATACAGATGTCGAAATTGTCAGGTGGTATAGAGGTTGGTCGTTGTGTGTGGTGATCCAGCACAGGTTACACTCTCAAAACATGCCAGTTTTGTTGGTGAGAAAAGTTGGTTAAGATTTAAACCAACAATGTGTACATTTCTCCAATTTGAGCAATGTTGGGTACATTTTCTAAACGTTGGGTAAAATTGGTTCATTTTTGCAACCTATTTTTTTTAAACCAACTGTTGTGTGGTTCATCTGGTAATCGACGGTTTGTAAAAATTAGTCATTTTACCCAAAGTTGATTAGATTTAACCTCATTTAACCAACGTTGGGTATATTAACTCATTTTAATCAACCGTTGATTAACAGGTGAACCATACAACAGTTAAAAAATGGTTAAAAAGTGAATCAATTTTACCAACGTTTGGTAAAATGTACCCAACATTGGCCAAATTGGAGAAATTTATACATTGTTGGTTAAATTGTAACCAACTTTTTTTCCCAACCAAATTTGAAAACATGTTTTGAGAGTGTATCGGTGAGTCGTCACGGTCCCAATAGTACGGCAGGAGAAATGGGTTCCCATGCATCCCCCTAAAACAAAATTCCAAGATGGTTTTTAGAATCCTATGACATCTGATTAAAGAATTTTGATGTTGCCTGCAAAAAAGTCCATTATGCCCTAATTTGCATATTTTTAAGATGGCTTCAGTGCAAATAATTAAAACGCTAAATGTCATATGTCAGTGACTAATGAGCCGATTTTGATGATCTTGGTGTCAAAATTATGAATATCTGGGGTGCTGAATCGATTTTCGAGGTTTTTCAAATAGCTGGAGGTCAAGGTCATTTTGGTAAGAAAAAATGGGTCATTTTCATTTTCCATCGGCATTATTTTTAACCTAGCTCCCATAGATATGGAGGCTTACTTATTGCTTTAACAAATGTCCACATTATCCCAACTACCAAATCCATTCAATAAAAAATGATGTGGCATTTTAATCTGGAGTTATGGCTCAATATTTGACACCAGCGCCTAAGTTTTGGATATGTACCCAATAATATGAAAATCTTCAAAATATAGCCAGTGGATAAAAACCCTACAGTTATATTTATCTTTTAGGGTCATGAAATCGGTTGATGGCGGTTTAGAAGTAATCAGAGGTCATTTTATTGCTCCAAGAACAAGGGTCAAGGGCATTTTATTTAAAAAATACTTCATTGTTTTAATTTCCGACATGCACCATTTTTGTCGAACTCCCATTGATATGGTAACAAAAGCTTATTGTTAAGTATTTTTTTTTATTTACCCAATGACAATTTTATGTCGACATTATGGTTGGCCATGATCTTCAAGGTCATAGGATGTGTCAATTTGTGGTCTTCATTATTGTGTTAAGGTCGTCTTCAAGGTCATAGGATGGGAAAATATTGAAGTAAAACTTAGCACATAGACCACGTTGCTCTCTTGCTGGCCCTCTTCGTTTTCAGCAGCATCAGTGTCTAACGGATCAACGAGTGATGGGAGCAAGATAGGGCCAATTGATTAGACAGGCTCCAGTACCCCTCAACTGTCTTCAGCCACCCTTGACCCTCATCATACGGTTTTGTCCTCAAAATTAGGGTCAGCAGCACGCCTGTAGCCTGCGATTAGGTGGTTGACGCGCTGCACATGAGGGATGAGTGAGTTATGGCAGGGATGCAGACATACATGCCAACCTTCCACTTGTTAACTTGTGGTCCTCTCCCTCAGCAGCTTGCTTCTCACCACATTTACATATATAGTCTCAAGCGCTTGACCACAAATGGCGCAGGTGAAAACCTCCAACTGCTACTGCACCTCTAGGGCCACCCTCCATGTCACGCCGACCTGCACACTTCATAATTTATGATCACTACGTGAACCACTATGAATTTAAAAGAGCACTTGCATGTGACTATACAATTGTTGTTATGCAAATATGATTTGCCTGAAAGCCTTGTGGAACTTGGTGTTCTTCTGGAGCTTCTTCAGTGGCGCCACCTTCCCCTTGCCCTTGAAAGCACTGGGTATTCCCGATCATAATACAGCTTACGTTCATGTATTGATGTCCAATATACCGGTTCTCCTCTGGTTCAAATATGGCATCACCAACTGGCCAGGCACCGCGCGAACGCGCAAGCCCATACTGGTACTGGGCAAATTCTGGCAAACATTGTGCCAGTTCTGTTGTAGTTGTAAGCTCTCCCATAATTACTGCCAACATCCCACCCTTTACTTACTACAGTTTGGTACCCTAAAACCTTCAACGGAGACATCAGAGAACAGGAAATTTAACAGACAAAGGATCCAAACAACAAGGAAACAAATAAGCAAACAAGAACTCAGAAACAGTTCGATTTTTTTTGTGATTATATGCATGTCAAGACATTTGCATTTTGTTCATTAAATTGAACATGTCGTGTTTCATTACAAAACTGTGATTCGTTACAGCTGTTGTCCGTCTTGCTGATGGTAACACGCCGCATGAAGGGAGAGTGGAAGTATTCTACCGATGCGAATGGGGTACTATCTGTGGTAGACACTGGGGCATTGAGGAGGCTAATGTCGTCTGTCGACAGCTCGGTTACCCTTCTGCAACTCAGGCCTGGCGAAGGGCTCACTTTGGTCAAGGATCAGGACCAATTCTCCTGAACAATGTTGTGTGTCATGGCAGTGAATCAAGTATTGACCGTTGCGATCGTACTGAATGGTACGATCACGTTTGTTCGTATCACTCCTTTGATGTTGGAGTGACATGTAACGAGACCTCTGCCAATCCCGGTAGGTACATCTCTCCTTTAGCAAAAGAATCCAGATATAATTTTTTAATCAACGTGTGCTGCTTTACAATCTAATTGTTTTTTGAAAGGTTTCATCAGCAGTCTTAATTTCAAATCAATCTTTTGTATTTTAATTTCAGTTCCAGTTCGACTCACCAATGGCAGCTTCCCGTATGAGGGTCGTATAGAAATATACCACGATGGTCAGTGGGGCACTGTCTGTGACGATGGCTGGAGCATTGAAGATGCCAACGTCATCTGTCGGCAACTCGGCTACCCTCCTGCATCACAGGCCTGGCAGGGTAGTCACTTTGGTGAAGGATCAGGACCGATTCTCCTGCGTAATGTTGCTTGCAATGGCACCGAATCACACATTGAGCTATGTGAACACAGTGGGTGGTTCAATCACAGCTGCAGTCATGCAGAAGATGCCGGAGTGACTTGTGGGGAGAAACTCATTGTCAATACCTCTTCACCAGGTATATACTTGAGTTGATTTATTTATTAAACTATATACACCTTATTCTGCCATAATGAACAATTCTTACTTAATTGAAATCATCAAATAATCCGCAGTTGTACAAGAAAGAAAGGCAATTTCAAAGTAGCTTTTCAAGATAATCTTGCTGTATATATACATTGCTGCCTAAAACCTGACAAATACCTGGTAAAACCCAATGAAATTCAATGCTGCTGAAAACAATAACTGGGTCTTCTATAATCCTGAATTAATTTACATTCAAGTAAGTAAGTATTTACATTTAACATTTGGCTGCAGTCGGTGAGTCACGTGGACAATAATGCACCTAAATATGTCACCACAAAATCTATGTTTGTCATTTCTCAGTGCATTTCAGCCTAGGTATAAGGGACAAACACAATGTACATTCGTGTGACTATTTTAAGAACTTGCCAAGGGCTGACATGACTACGTTGTCGGGTTTGGTGCATTGGCCAGTAAAACATAATCCATGTCGCATGGGCTCCATGCACTAGTTTTAGAGCTCATTGAAAGGGACACGGATAGCCCGCCGCGTGTGTACAGCCACTCGCGCGACTTAATATTTTATTCTGAGTTTGGATAAAATCAATGCAGATGCATGTCTCCATTTACAGAACAGATTATATTGGCCTTCCTGACGTAATATTCGACTGAAAAAGAAGCGACCATTTATCATGCTTATGTTGAATCTTCAATTTTACTGTCTCTCTCTTTCTAGTTTCAGTACGGCTTGTGAATGGGGAAGCACCTAATGAAGGTCGAGTTGAAGTGTACTACAAATGCCACTGGGGTACAATCTGTCAGAATGACTGGTCCATCAGAGATGCCAATGTCATCTGCCGACAGCTCGGCTACCCTTCTGCATCGCAGGCCTGGCACAGTGCTCACTTTGGCCGAGGATCAGGAGTAATTGTCCTGAGCAATGTTGCATGTCGTGGCAATGAATCAAGTATTGACCTGTGCCATCACAGTGGATGGTATGTTACCTCCGGCTGCAATCATTATGGGGACGCTGGAGTAACTTGTGACTTAACATCTCCAGAAGGTGAGGTACAAGAATGTATTATTTTTAATTAATCAGCAATGATGGCTACATGACTACCTTTACTTTTTGTTTAAAGTCAGCAAGTCAGGATATCCACCTTGATATCTAAAAAAAGCTATTTTGTTTGATACATGAGTTTTGCCCTCCGTCGATTTATATTACTGTAGTATTTGATTCGTGGGATTAATCACGGGGGTTGTCGGGGTCTCTTAACAAGACTACTGTCCTGATGCACAAACACTCAGACACACAGGTTACATTTGATGATCAGTATTTTATTGTCGATGACAAATCACGATTCATGTTCCATTATGATTAAAACTCCAGTATAAAAAGTATAATTAAGACTCCATGTGGTTAAGACTAAGTCTGTCTGTCTGGTGGGATCTGTCGGCGCGATTTATGCTAGTGTGGGCATCACAAAAACGCCTTCTTCTGGACTTTGAAAATATGGACATTCGCTATACAAACCTAATGTAATGTCCAATGTCCAATTTCCAAGTAAAATATGGACATTCGCCATACAAACCTACGCACATTTGCAACGTCCGTGTCTAGCTTATTAGACAAACTTGTCAGGGTGTCTGGGGAATCTCAATTACGCCTCCTCCCGGAGTTTAAAAAATATGGACATTCGCCATACATGTCCGTGTCCTAAAAGACACACTTGTCAGGGCGTCTGGTGGGATCTGTCGGCGCGATTTATGCTAGTGTGGGCATCACAAAAACGCCTTCTTCTGGACTTTAAAAATAATTATGGAAATTCGCTATACAAACCCATTGTAATGTCCAATGTCTATGCGTATTAAGCGCTATATGAATGTTAATTATTATTATTATTATTATTAATGTCTAATATCCAAGTAAAATATGGACGTTCGCCATTAACGGTAGGGGAGGGGGGAAATCACAATGACGCCTTCTCCTGAACCCCCAAAATATGGACATTCGCTGTACAAACCTACTGCAATGTCCAATGTCCAATATCCAAGTAAAATATGGACATTTGCCATACAAAGCCATGGGCATTTACAATGTCCGGGTATCACCTCAAAAATTGTCAGGGCGTCTGGTGGCAGTGGCATAGCCAGGAATTTTTCGGGGGGGGGGGGGCGCTGGGGGGCTGGAACATTTCATGGGGGGGGGGCGTCATGCAGGGGCATCAATCGCTTCTCAAAAGTGGGGGGGGCGGACATACCTTGATCAGAACTGATGCGAGCGCGAAGCGCGAAGCCCGAAAGCCCAAAGCCCGAAGCCCGAAGCGCGAAGCGCGAAGCCCGAAGCGCGAAGCCCGAAGCCCGAAGCGCGAAGCCCGAAGCGCGAAGCCCCAAGCGCGAAGCCCGAAGCGCGAAGCCCGAAGCGCGAAGCCCGAAGCGCAAAGCCCGAAGCCCGAAGCCCGAAGCCCGAAGCGCGAAGCCCGAAGCGCGAAGCGCGAAGCCCGAAGCCCGAAGCCCGAAGCCCGAAGCCCGAAGCCCGAAGCCCGAAGCCCGAAGCCCGAAGCCCGAAGCCCGAAGCCCGAAGCCCGAAGCCCGAAGCCCGAAGCCCGAAGCCCGAAGCCCGAAGCCCGAAGCCCGAAGCCCGAAGCCCGAAGCCCGAAGCCCGAAGCCCGAAGCCCGAAGCCCGAAGCCCGAAGCCCGAAGCCCGAAGCCCGAAGCCCGAAGCCCGAAGCCCGAAGCCGAAGCCCGAAGCCCGAAGCCCGAAGCCCGAAGCCCGAAGCCCGAAGCCCGAAGCCCGAAGCCCGAAGCCCGAAGCCCGAAGCCCGAAGCCCGAAGCCCGAAGCCCGAAGCCCGAAGCGCGAAGCCCGAAGCGCGAAGCCCGAAGCCCGAAGCCCGAAGCCCGAAGCCCGAAGCCCGAAGCCCGAAGCCCGAAGCCCGAAGCCCGAAGCCCGAAGCCCGAAGCCCGAAGCCCGAAGCCCGAAGCCCGAAGCCCGAAGCCCGAAGCCCGAAGCCCGAAGCCCGAAGCCCGAAGCCCGAAGCCCGAAGCCCGAAGCCCGAAGCCCGAAGCCCGAAGCCCGAAGCCCGAAGCCCGAAGCCCGAAGCCCGAAGCCCGAAGCCCGAAGCCCGAAGCCCGAAGCCCGAAGCCCGAAGCCCGAAGCCCGAAGCCCGAAGCCCGAAGCCCGAAGCCCGAAGCCCGAAGCCCGAAGCCCGAAGCCCGAAGCCCGAAGCCCGAAGCCCGAAGCCCGAAGCCCGAAGCCCGAAGCCCGAAGCCCGAAGCCCGAAGCCCGAAGCCCGAAGCCCGAAGCCCGAAGCCCGAAGCCCGAAGCCCGAAGCCCGAAGCCCGAAGCCCGAAGCCCGAAGCCCGAAGCCCGAAGCCCGAAGCCCGAAGCCCGAAGCCCGAAGCCCGAAGCCCGAAGCCCGAAGCCCGAAGCCCGAAGCCCGAAGCCCGAAGCGCGAAGCCCGAAGCGCGAAGCCCGAAGCGCGAAGCCCGAAGCACGAAGCCCGAAGCCCGAAGCCCGAAGCCCGAAGCGCGAAGCCCGAAGCCCGAAGCCCGAAGCCCGAAGCCCGAAGCCCGAAGCCCGAAGCGCGAAGCCCGAAGCCCGAAGCCCGAAGCGCGAAGCCCGAAGCGCGAAGCGCGAAGCGCGAAGCGCGAAGCGCGAAGCGCGAAGCGCGAAGCCCGAAGCCCGAAGCCCGAAGCCCGAAGCGCGAAGCCCGAAGCGCGAAGCTAGAAGCGGCGTGGGGTTCGGGGCCCGCTTAAGGGTCCCGAAAAAAAAATGATTCTAGATGTTCTGTGGTGTGATCTGAAGCAATTTTTTACCATTTTCCTCCATGCTTTAACTAATATTTTCTTAGCAAAAGATAATTATTTGAACATCGTTTTCGAGGTTGGAGTCAGTCTCTTGACCTTCACTAACCACATCAATTCCTTCCACAGAACCATCAAATTCACATCGGAGTTCTCGGCTCACCAAACCCACTTTCTGGATGTCACCGTCCGCAAGCAAGGCAACTCACTAACCACTGACCTGTATTCCAAACCCACAGACACCCACCAGTACCTCCACTCCTCCAGCTGTCACCCCAGGCACTGCAAAACTGGCATAGCGTTTAGCCAGGCACTCAGCGTACCAAAACAAATGCTAATTTAAAGTACAGACAGGCACCAGACTATTCCTCATTTGCATACATGTGCAAAAATCTTGCACATGCAAATGATCCAGTACCAGGGTACGTAGGCGCGTACTGCTCGACACCCTTGGGACAAAGTTGCTGCCCGACCGGGCAATTTTTCAAGATGGCCGCTAGTTTTTTTTTTTTTTTTTTAAATGGCCCTCATTGGACTCGGATAATAACATACCATCTTCATATGGCCTAGATGCAACAAATACAAGGCCAGAATGATGTTACTGTTGAAAAATTTTCATTTTTTTCGTTAAAAAAATAATATTAGGTGTTATAGGTAACCTCTCAAAGGTATTTGTTTTGGTCATTTTTATGTCATTTTCTATTACAGTCACTGTGCGTTTGATCAATGGGAACGCACCAAATGAAGGTTCAGTTGAGGTGCAGTACAGAGGCCAATCGGGGAGCGTCTGTGGTTACAACCCAGTCTGGAGAATTGAAGAAGCCAATGTCGTCTGTAGACAACTCGGCTACCCTTCTGCGTCTCAGGCCTGGCAGAACGCTCACTTTGGGCAAGGGTCTGGGCCGATTCTCCTCGTAAATGTTGCATGTGATGGATACGAATCACGCATTGACCAGTGTGACTATAGGGGCTGGTTGATGTCTAGCTGCATTCATTCCCATGATGTCGGAGTGACGTGTGATGTAACGACTCCCGCTCCGGGTAAAGTTCATATGTTTAATAACGTAATGCAATTCACACAGGTATAAGTTCAAACGGTAAAGCAAGTTTAAAGAAATTTTAATTCAACAAGGTCAAAATGTCACGATTTAGGTAAGGGCCATATTGGGTAGTCCAGATCATCCAGAACATATACTAGAATATAATACAAATTTAATGAATTTGCCTCATCCAAATGTGCATGTACACAGACCTACCAACCTGGTACATATACACAAGGAATAGCTGTATTAACGAACAGCTACATCAACTGGGGAAAGACGTTTTCAGATAAAAAATCGAATACTTGAAACTACACATTTTGTGTCGTGTGATTGAAAACAAAAATGCGACGTGTATTAGGTCTATATAGGTTTTCCCAGCTGAATGTGTCTGAAAATATAGGTTTTCCCCTGCTATTTTAACACTTGTATCATACGAATTCCCTATATCGGTTCTTTAATTTCGTCCGCGAACATCCCCAAGCTCAATTCTCAATTTGAATTTCAAAAAACCGCCACTAGATTTCATTTAAGGTTCAGTATAATTCAAACTGTTAGCATTCCGATCCGTCCAAAATCTTTGAAATTCGTCTCGTGAAGCAATCGGCGTTGAATTGTAAAAGCAAATTCGTTTTCTGTCATTCGTTTTAATTTTCTTGTCGTTACATTTCATCTCTGGTGACTTAAAACGTTACTATTAAAAATGTGCCCAATATTTGGACTTGTTTTCGCATTAATTAAATTTTGATTTTTAACAAATATTTCCTTATAAATGAAAGTATAGCTGTAAGTTTTCTTTGACAATTAACATTGAAATTAGAAATTGAACTTTTACAATATGCTCTTTGCTTTATAGCACATGGAAATTAAGCATTAAGATCAAACACCTTCGTAATGTTGCTCTTTGATATTTGTTTATGAATAAAACAACAGAAATAAGGTATGATGTCTATCAAAGAACAACGTTAAGGAGGTCTTTGAACTTAATGCTTAGTGTCCGTGTCATAAGTGCATATTGTGAAATGTCAATTCCTGACTCTAATGTTAATTGTGAAACACAGCAATAAAAATTCATACCTTACAGCTAACTAATTTTGTTTATACATATAAGGAAATATATGTTGAACTATCATTGTTTTAATATGCATAATTCTTCAAACAAGTCTAACGATTTGGCGCATTTTTCTAATCGTATACGATTAAGTCACCAGGGACTAGATGTAATGAAAACAACATGAAAACGAATGACAAAAACCGCCGATTGCTTCACGAGACGAATTTCAAAGATTTTGGACGAATCGGAATGCTTTATAATTTAAATTATACTGAACCTTAAATAAAATCTAGTGGTGGCTTTTTGAAATTCAAATTGAGAATTGAGCTTGGCGATGTTCGGGGACGAAATTAAAGTATCGCTATAGGGAATTCGTGTGATACAAGTGTTAAACTAACCGTGAAAACTTATATTTTCAGACACTTTCAAAAAGTGTATGAAGCAAACTGAAACTGTACATAGTTAATGAAAAAAATGAATCTTATGTTAGTGCATTGTTTATGCTCCAAAAGTACCAAAGTAATAATGCCAAAAATAGAACAGAATTAGATTGTTCTCCAATAGTAATACAAATGAGAAGCAAACATGTATAATATAGTGATAAATCGATATGACTGAGCATTTTTTTTTTCTGGGGGGGGGGAGGTGGGAAAGGGGTAAGCTCCATTTTTGGTGTTATTTGGTTGTGCCAGTGTTTTTTCCTGATTGAACTGGTTTTTGTATGTGGCAGATGTTAAACGGAGAGCTGGATAGTGTTTAATCAAAATTTCGGGAACAAATCCTCTGATTGTCTGAAAGCATGGTATTATCGACCCTGATCACAGAATGGCCATTCTTAAGTTTCGCTAGATCAGACTAAGACCCATTGGCGCCATGCCAAGTGGGGCCAATTTTGCATTTAATCAAAATTTTGAGAACAAGAACGAAACCAATATCATTTGATAGCTTGGAACTTGCAGATTATGGATATATAACTTAAGAATGATTTAAGATCATACTAATTTACTTAAGAACAGCCCGAAAAGCGCGGAGGGTGGGCGTGTCCATTACCCCCTTCTTTTCCTTTTCGCTGATACCGGTGCAATGCAACAGTAGAGGAGAAAATGAAACTAGTTTGTATTGATGCCTCAACACTCATGAAATAAACAACGATGACTTAAGAGTGATTTTAGATTAGATTAATTACCTTAAGAGCGGCGGGAAATGCGCGGAGGGGGCGGGGCCTCACCTCATCACCATGTGGGCCTACGTTTTGGCTCATATCGTCGCAAAGCATTTGTTAAATTCTGCCAAGTTTATTTCACAGCTGTTCTGATGTCTTGCAGTAATTGTGACACCAAATTTATGCAAATAGAGCATAACTTCGTCATAAAATGTCTATTTTCCAACACAGTTAGGCCTATTGTTAACTTTTCTCATTAACAAGTACACGCACATGAAAGCGTGCATGACAGTGCCGACTAACAGATTGAATTGAAATTTTGCAGATGAAACCATTTTTATTGATGCCTTGGCACTTGTGGAATATGAAAATATAACTTAAGGGTTCCTTTTGGTCAGACTAATTAACTTAAGAGAGGTGTCAACAGCGCGGAGGGGGCGGGGTTGCAGCCCCCCCCCCCCCCTCCGTGTACAGTTTGGCTCCTACCGTCGCAATGCATTTATTCAATTCTGCCAAGTTTATCTGATAGTTGTTCTGATGTCTGATGTGAATATAGGGCATACCTTCGCCACACCATTTTCGAATACCAAACGGTTATAAGCTTAAATGTTAACTTCTCGATCAACGTTCCATAACGTACATCGGAGGGCGCATGACAGTGCCGACTGACTTTAAACGACCACAACAAAACATTTCAACAGGCTGTATTGAAACTTCACAAATGTATTATACTAATATTCCGTTGTCCATTAAAATAATTCCAAAGTGGGGAGAGCATATCAGATTTCCGTTGCCCTGGGACAGTTTAAATATTTTTGTTTACCTTAGCATTTTTATTCTGATTATTGACCTTTGCACGGAATCAAAGTAGCCAAAGCACTTTACCCAACCATGAAATATTATTTCTAGTTCACGATAACCAGCCACATTTTGTAACCTTTTTACCAAACTCACTGGTGCATTGTTGTAACTTTGTCTGGCTTGTTTATTATATTATGTATGCTCTGTTGCGTTGTCGCCGGGCATGAACACAGGGGACATGGGGATCAAATAACAAAATCGTCTTTGGGTCTTAATTCGTGGGATCCTGTAGAACGATAGTCAAAATTAATTTCTATTTCATTATTTAGACTTGGGACATAAAATAAGTTTGCATTTGAAGTAATTTGTGGAAAATGGGTATACAAAGACCACTGATCTCTCAAATGGGCGTCTCCCCCAAACTGGAAAGCCCCCCCCCCCAAAAAAAAAGGGGAAAAAGGAGAAAAAAAGGGAACAGGTAAAGAAAAAGAGGCGCGAAGTCATTACTGTTCATTTAATGGTTTTTCTTTTTTGGGGGGTGGTGGTGGGGGTCATATATGTCCTTGTCCACCTTCGAAAAATCGAAATACGCTGGAAGAGTACATGTACAGGTATTTTTTTATGGGAGGGGGGGGGGGAACTGTAATTTGCCCCGTCTTGAAAAAAATCCCGGCGACCCCCAGAACTTCACTAGCTATGAACTTTCCCCACATTTGAAAGTACATTATCATGGCAAGAATTCATATCGTAAGATTAGATGTGGGTTGTAGAGTTTGAATTCATCTTTAAATATCAATAAACAGGGCATACAAAGTTAATTGACCTTTCGAAAGTGACCAGAAGGCAAATATGAAATATTTTCTCATATCCGATCATTATATATGCATAGCATGAAGAACCAGCGCACGGAGTTTTGTGCTTCAGTCTAAAAGTTAAAAACTGTGTACGATATTTCACCTTAACAGCTCCGTCAGCCTATACCCACTGCCCCTTAAGATTCAATTACATATTTAGCTTCAAACCGGAAAAGTGTAGTATATAATTTATTTTTAATTCGCCAGCTCCTGCTACCTGTGCTTTCTCATTATTATTATTTTAGCAGAAGTTGATATCGCTAATGAAACGACTCCCGAACATCGGCGACATCTGTGAAGTTTCAATTCCACCTGTTAAAATAGTTTGTTGTCATAGTTATTCAGAGTCAGCGCTCTCATGCACCCTCCGATGTACGTCATACACACATAATGGAAAAGCTAACATTTACGCCTTTTCCCGTTTTGTTATTTGAAAAATTTGTAGCGAAGGTATGCCCTATTTTCATAAATTTGGTGTCAAAATAACCGCATGACATCAGAACAACTGTCAGAGAAACTTGGCAGAATTTAATAAATGCATTGCGACGATAGCGACCAAAATGTACTCGAAGGGGGGCTGCAGCCCCGCGCTGTTTGCGCCGCTCTTAAATAAATTAGTCTGACCAAAAGGAACTCTTAAGTTGTATTTCCATGTTCCACAAGTGCCAAAACATCAATAAAAATGGTTTCATTTTACCAATTTAAATTTTGTAGTACATTTTCACGGTTTCAATTTGATCTTTTAGACAACATTGTCATGCACGCTTTCATGTGTATGTACTTTTCAATGGGAAAAAGTTAACATTCAGGCCTACCTATGTTGGAAAATAGACGTTTCATGACGAAGTTTTACTCTTTTATCATAAAAGTCGGTGTCAAAATAACCGGAAGACATCAGAACAGCTGTGAAAGAAAGTCGGCAGGATTTAACAAATGCCTTGCGACGACAGGACGATAGATGGTGGGGGTTGAGGCCCCGCCCCCTCTGCGCTTTTCCCGCCGCTCTTAAGGTAATTAGTCTGACCTAAAACCACTCTTAAGTTATATTTGTATATTACATGAGTGTTAAGGCATCAATAAAAACTGGTTTAATTTCTCCTCTACGGTTGCGTAGCAACGGTATCAGCGAAGAGGAAAAGAAGGGGGTGACGGCCACGCCCACCCTCCGCGCTTTTTGGGCCGTTCTTAGGTTAATTAGTCTGATATAAAATCATTCTTAATTTGTATTTCCATATTCTACAAGTTTCAAGCTATAAAATTATACTGGTTTCGTTCTTGTTCTCAAAATTTAGATTAAATGCAAAATTGGCCGCATTTGGCATGGCACAAATGGGCCGCTGGTTCCAAAAAGTGAATTTGTTAAAGAACAAAAAGAATGGCACATTATTACCAAAAAAACACTCTTTAGAAATATGGGTGGGGGGACCCGGCGGTGCAGATGGCATTTGTATAAAAAAGGGCAGTCTTTAGCAAAATATGGGGGGGGGGGGTAAATACTCCATCACCCCCCTTCCTCTCACCCCGCTGGCTTCGCCAATGCATAATCGGGTGAGAGCTGGCTGTTTCAATCTTCGGAATGCTACGATCACACTTTGCGAATGAATGTTCTTGCTGGCTTGTCACTCTAAAAGTAAGTACATTACTTACGCGAGCTCTACAGGTTGACGTAATGCTCATTTACGGGCTCCGAGCTACTTTTATAAATGTTTAATCAGAGGTACTAAATGCCTTGACCTGGGCGTGTCGTGCTTACGCACGAGCTCATACTCCTCAAGAGGGACCTGTCATCGATGCCGCTCTTCAGCTCCAAACCACGGTATTGCCGTCTGCATGGTCCACACCCTAGGGATATTGATCAAGCCAAGACCACGATGTCAAAGATCCAACCCGAATGGAGATGACTAGAGAGAGCAGGAAAACTATATATGGACAACAAAACCCGAGTTTAGCCTTTTGGTCTGATGTGCATGTTAGGGTCTACCCGATGTTCCCCAATACCTACACTGACAAATTGCCTAGGTAAATTTTACCAGAGAAAGGGTGAAAACTGCAGCTACCCTAAATCGGGTTGTTTGATTGTTTGGGTTAGAATTTCTGCTTAATTCAATCAAAAGTTGTAGTTAAAGAAGACCAAATTAGATTTTGTCTGGTATGACCACAAGTTTTGGTAATTTAACAGAAATTCTAACCCAAACAATGGGTTATAGAACAACCCGATTTTGGGTAGTTGCAGTTTTCACCCTTTCTTGGGTAAAATTAACCCAGGGAAAGTTTCAGTGTATGTTCCCCAAAATCCTTAGGATTAGGGTAAGGGTTTAGGGTTAGGATTGGGGGTTAGGGTTGGGGAACATAAGTATTTGGGAACATAGGTATTGGGGAACATAGGTTAGCACCCCATGTTAGGACCATGTTATTTTCTTCTATTTTAATTCAAAATGTCGTGTTTCATTGCAATACTGTGATTCGTTGCAGTGGTTGTCCGTCTTGCTAATGGGAACACGCCGCATGAAGGGAGAGTGGAAGTATTCTACCGATGTGAATGGGGTACTATCTGTGGTAGACACTGGGGCATTGAGGAGGCTAATGTCGTCTGTCGACAGCTCGGCTACATCTCTGCAACTCAGGCCCGGTGGTATGCTCACTTTGGTCAAGGATCAGAGCCGATTCTCCTGAACAATGTTGTTTGTCGTGGCAGTGAATTAAGAATTGACCAATGCGATCATACTGGATGGTACAATCACGATTGTTCGTATCACTCCTATGATGTTGGAGTGACATGTAACGAGACCTCTCCGAATCCTGGTAGGTTGATCGGCTTTGGCAAAAGAATCCAGATTGACTCGGAAAAATTGTCCGTCATTTTTGGTAAATTTACTATAAAACAGGTTGCCAACAAAATAAAGTAAAATGTTGGTCGGTTACGGATTTCTTAAAAATGACGCTGACGTCGACCTATTGCTTGTCAACACCGCATGAATAGCCGCATGACTCTCCAAAACCACCAATATTGAAGCATTGCGGTTGTGATAGCACAGTCATCGACTTTGAATTAGGCACTAATAAGCGAACCTTGCATTCATGCATTAGGCGTGTAAACGAATCAAAAGTTTTTAAAAAACGCAGGGAGGGGTTGTGAAGGGTTACGCCTACAAACGCCATGTGAATCCCAGCATACGTCAGGGTACCACATTTTAGTGACATTCCTTGGGATGGTTAGAGCACTAACGGTAAAACGTCGTGTAAGGCGAAGTAAAAAAAAACAACATGTTTCTCGCCCCGCCCGCTTCCTTTTTGGAGGCCGCCTGGATTTTTTTATTATTTTTTATTTTTGAAAAATGCAGTAAAAAAAGCATCGAAAAAGTCCACAAATTCATCGGAAATGAATTGTAGACCAATACAAGTCTAAATGACAGTGTAAATATGTTCAGTTCTCTTGTCCAACTTATCTTTAATTTTGAAAGTGTCTTTAAACAGTTGAAACACCAACGGTTGCAGGACATTTTTAAATGGCGGCCATCTTGAAACAAATAAAAAATAAAAAGCCCGCTTCCTTTTTTTTTTCTCAAAAACCCGGACGAGAAACATGGTTTTTTTTTTTACTCGGCCTAACGTATTGGGGAAAACTGTGTTTTACAGGATTTGTGTACAGTGCATGCTTGTTTTTAAACCTAAATGTCAACTCAACCTATAAGTATTCATAAGATGAAATTTTGCGTCAGGGTGATGTAAATAAATATTTGGTTTTGCCAACCTATTCCTTAAGCTCGGTGGTCGAGCGGTGAGACGTCTGCACTAGAAAGCAGGAGGTCGTTGGTTCGAGTCCCACCTCAGTAATTTTTGTTCCAACTATCACTCGGGAGGTAACACACTGAGTATACAGTGTTTATACATGGGTGAAGGGCACAGCCTAATTGATGAACAACCTATACGTGTTTGAATTTCAGTTCCAGTTCGACTCACCAATGGCAGCTTCCCGTATGAGGGTCGTATAGAAATATACCACGATGGTCAGTGGGGCACTGTCTGTGACGATGGCTGGAGCATTGAAGATGCCAACGTCACCTGTCGACAACTCGGCTACCCTCCTGCATCACAGGCCTGGCAGGGTAGTCACTTTGGTGAAGGATCAGGACCGATTCTCCTGCGCAATGTTGCTTGCAATGGCACCGAATCAAACATAGACCTATGTGAACACAGTGGGTGGTTCAATCACAGCTGCAGTCACGCAGAAGATGCCGGAGTGACTTGTGGGGAGCAACTCATTGTCAACGACTCTTCACCAGGTATACACTTTGAGTTGTGTTTTCTTAAACTTTGTTTTCAACCACAGTGAAAAAATATAACTGCACTCATTAAACAATTAGTCTGCATTTGTTGTAAAGAGTAGGAGACTGGAACTGTTAAAGCGCCCTCTTTGCTTGATTTTTTTTAAAGCCACGTCCTGTTATAATTATGTTTACTAAAGCTCAGTGGTTTCAGCCTGATAGTACAGACACAATTCACATTTTTGTGGCTACTTCATCAACTTGTTAAGGAGCTCCCCGTGTTGATGTGTTTGGCAAATTGGCGAGTAAAACTTTAATTTCGCGTGGGCTCCATGAACCAACTACAGAGGGCGTTTTTTACAACTTTGGAGAGCTCATTTGACGGGCAGACTCATTTGCGCACTCCTTTGTATGAGCGTCAGGCGTTGGCAGTAATGCATCCACATATATCAATTTACCGAGCATAATACATTGACCTTTCACAGGTAATTCGAGACAAAAGGTGGTGACCATTTATCATGCGTATCTTGAATCTTCAATTTTACTGTCTCTCTCTTTCTAGTTTCAGTACGGCTCGTGAACGGGAATGCACCTAATGAAGGTCGAGTGGAAGTGTACTACAAATGCCACTGGGGTACAATCTGTCATAATGGCTGGTCCATCAGAGATGCCCATGTCATCTGCCGACAGCTCGGCTACCCTTCTGCATCCCAGGCCTGGCACAGTGCCCACTTTGGCCGAGGATCAGGCCCGATTCTCCTGAGCAATGTTGCATGTCGTGGCAATGAATCAAGTATTGACCAATGTGATCACAGTGGATGGCATGTTACCTCCGGCTGCAGACATTATAGTGACGCTGGAGTAACTTGTTATTTAATATCTCCACAGCAAGGTGAGGTTCAGGATTGTATAATTTCAAATTAATCACAGTAATGGTTACAAGACTACCTGTACTTCATTTTTTTTTCTTTTTGAAGCCCGATCCCCCCCCCCCCTCCGAAACATTCAAATCGAGATTTGTACATCAATATCTCAAATGAGCAATTTTGTATTATGCAAGTATTGGAGTTTACCCTTTGCCGACGTGTAAAGATCAAAGCTCTATAAACAGTTTACATCTCGAATTTCACATGAATTAGCAAGCTATTTCACCTAACTGTTTTGTAGTCTAGATTATGTTTACATTGCAGTGATTAACCTCTTTTAGCTTGTTAAATAATATTGTCATTTTAATCATTTTGAATGACAGTTTCTGTACGTCTGATCAATGGGAACGCACCCAATGAAGGTACGGTTGAGGTTAACTACACAGGCCAATGGGGGAGTGTCTGTGGTAACAACCCAGTCTGGAGAATTGAAGAAGCCAACGTCGTCTGCCGACAACTCGGCTACCCTTCTGCATTTCAGGCCTGGTCGAACGCTCACTTTGGGCGTGGATCTGGGCCGGTTGTCCTCGAAAATGTTGCATGTGATGGACATGAATCACGCATTGACCAGTGTGACAGTGTGATGTCTAGCTGCAGTCATTACTATGACGTCGGAGTGACGTGTGACGTAACCACCCCATCTTTGGGTAAGTTGAAGTAGTTGATGTTAGTCATAAATGAAGATATTATACGGAAGATGGCATTTTCCGAAACCTCAAACCAAATTGCACACAAATATTCCCGATAAATACCAGCATGTGTGCCCAGCAGTTCGGTACCCTCAAACCTGAATGAAATGCCGGAGAGCAGGACTAACTACGTAAACAGCAGATCAATACAACAAAGAAACGAATAATCTTCCATTTACAACTCGGGGACCGAATTGAACCAATATGTACATTAGGACCTTGTTATACTTTTTCATTTAATTCAAAAAGTTGTGTTTCATCGCCATATTGTGATTCGTTACAGTGGTTGTCCGTCTTGCTGATGGTAACACGCCGCATGAAGGGAGAGTGGAAGTATTCTACCGATGCGAATGGGGTACTATCTGTGGCACTAGTCACTGGGGCATTGAAGAGGCAAATGTCATCTGTCGACAGCTCGGCTACATCTCTGCAACTCAGGCCTGGCGGAATGCTCACTTTGGTCAAGGATCAGGGCCGATTCTTCTGAACAGTGTTGTGTGTCGTGGCAGTGAATCAAGTATTGACCAATGCGATCATGCTGGATGGTACAACGAAGATTGTTTGCATCACACCTACGATGCTGGAGTGACATGTAACGAGACGTCTTCCAGTCCTGGTGAGTTGATCTCATTCGGCAAAATAATCTAGATGCACTGTAAACAATTGCCCGTAATTTTATGGTTCATCTAGCTGTCAAATGGGTCGCCAAAAGAAAATTATTGTCAGTTACTTGTATTTGGATGAAAATGGGTTAGGACGTGCTGGCGTGGTATGGAGAATTGAGGAGCTCCATTGCCACTGAAGTATCCCATTGTATGGCACGGCGTCTCAACATTAGCCTCTCCTAATCAAATCCTACTGTCTGGCTTCTCGTGCCGACCCTGTTTCTACTAAATAACGGATTGTGTCCGCAAGTTCCTGGCGCTATTTCGAGGTTGCTCCGGGTAGGTGGAGCTCGTTAGCTTTGGTTGGCAACCCACCTAGGAGAAGGACAACTCTGATCACAAACCCAGGTAGGTAGAACTCGTTAGCCTAGGTCGGCAGTCTGCCTTGAAGAGGGACAACGTTGATCGTAAACCCGGGTAGGTAGAATTCGTAAGCCTTGCTTGGCTGTCTACCACTTACTTGGGTGTCCAATCTTTCAGTGAGTCAGGGCTTGTCTATCGCAGCATGTGAAGTCTGGATTTGGCGGACTGTGCGGGATAAACCATCAGTTGGTTCAACGGACAGGAAGGTGATTTCCAGGAACGTGTAGCGGAGCACAAAGAGCATGACGAGACACGTAGGACGTCATGGTCATCCACTGAATCCTGATCCGTATCACCAGCCGACTTGACTATGTCTTGCCGCTGGACTTAGACGGGCCGGGACGAGAGAGAAAGGTTGATACGATCTTCGCAACTCTCCCTCACTATAATCCAAGTACAGCGCAAGTCACGGCTTCTAACACCATCTTGCTTGGTTTTATTATACCAAGTCCTGTGGTGATGGGGGAAATGACGGAACAGCAAATAGTTTAGTCAGAAAAGAGGGGTATCGTGCACCCTCGGATATCTATTTCTAATCAACGTCTCTAGTTCAGAAAAAAATGCGTAGGAAACGATTTGCTATGTTAAAAATAAATCAAAAAACGTCCACGTATTGTTTTATGCAAATTAGTGGCGCCATATCCGAAAAATCTATTTCTAACTAAATCTCAACCAATATTGCAGATAACTGGACAAATCAGGTGTCTAAACCCATGTTTTCAAGGTCAGAGATCACAATAAACTGTTCTTGAAGTGACCAGATGTGGCTGTGGCATAGGAACATGCAAATTAGTGCCGCTAATACCGGAAAATCATGTTTTTGGCATATCTCGGGAGTATAGCACATAACTACATAATCCCATGTTTGTAGGGTCAGGCATCATCAGAAGACCATTCACGAAGTAACTATGTGTGTCCTTGGCAGGTAAATATGTAAACTATAAAGGGCTTATTTATCAGAAATTTGATTTTTAGCCAATATCTCGGCCAATACTGCACATAACTACACAAGTAAGGTGTCTAAACCCATGTTTTGAAGGTCAGGTATCATTAGAAGACCATGGACGAAGTAAATATGCATTTCCTTGGCAGGTAAATATGAAAACTCTCAAGTGCTGATTCATCAGAAATTTGATTTTCAGCCAATATCTCGGTCAATACTGGAGCTAATGTTAACAGATGGGTTTTGATAAGCAGCAATGATCAAAGTTAAGCCATTTTTAAGCCATCATATTAAAAATAACCTGTGATATTGGCTGAATTTGAATAGAATATTGGTTGAAAATCAAATTTCTGATAAACCGGCAATTTAGAATTTACACATGTTCATTATTAACTATCTACCTTTAAACGCATTATGAATCCCAGCAATCGTCAGGGTACCACAGTGTGTAGCAAGTTTTTTTCATTGGACGATTCCAGCGATAAGGGTTATATGCCGTAAACAGTACGGGAAATGAACAGGGTTTATACAAGTTTTGTTTTGCTTGTTTATAGCCAGCATGTGCTGCGTTCCTGGGTTCTATCACTGACGAAAAAAATCAACCTATTAATGTTTTAATTTCAGTTCCAGTTCGACTTACCAATGGCAGCTTCCCGTATGAGGGTCGTATAGAAATATACCACGATGGTCAGTGGGGCACTGTCTGTGATGATGGCTGGAGCATTGAAGATGCCAACGTCATCTGTCGGCAACTCGGCTACCCTCCTGCATCACAGGCCTGGCAGGGTAGTCACTTTGGTGAAGGATCAGGACCGATTCTCCTCAGTAATGTTGCTTGCAATGGCACCGAATCAAACATTGACCTATGTGAACACAGTGGGTGGTTCAATCACAGCTGCAGTCATGCAGAAGATGCCGGAGTGACTTGTGGAGAGCAACTCATTGTCAACGACTCTTCACCAGGTATTCCCTTTGAGTTGATTTATTTCTTAAACTAAACATTCAACTACAATGAACAGTTCTTACTTAAATGCAATCTTAAAACATTAGTCTGTGGGTGTTTTAACTGGGAACAAGAACTGTTTGCACCCTCTTTGGTGAATCCTTGAAAGCCACGCCCAGTGATTTTGTGTTCGGATATGGTTCCTTTTGTGAGTCACGCAAAAAATAAGGCCATATTTCACCCGGAGAATGTGTGTTATATCTCTGTGATTTTAGCCTGGGAATAATGTTACAGACACTATGTACAGTTTTGTCACTACTTTATGAATCTGGCAGACGCGTTTGGCGAATAGTCCTGAGACCTAATGACGTCACGCTTTGTGCGCTTTGCTACGAGAGCCAGATGGGACGTGTCCTTATGTGAGCAGATTGGTTGGCACGCGGCTTGCATTTATCTGCATGTACGTCCAGACATATCAGACGTTATACAGGAGAATTGGCTCCGTGGATAACGGGTGATACTCAGACTTCGTCCCTTCTGGCTCTCATAGGAAAGAGCACATGTAAACAAAGAGTGGCGTCATTAGGTCTTAGGACTATTGGCAAATTAGTCTGGTTCCCTGTCATTTGGACTTCCAATATGGGGACAGGCAGCTAGCGGTAAATATTGCATACTTCAGGAAGCATCCATCCTGATGTATGCAAATAATATGCATGATAGGTCTGAATCCCGCCTCCTGAATTGAAAATCGCAAAGGTGAAGTTTGCCCGCAACCAGCCTATTGCAAATTGACAGTAGGCCGCGCCACGAATGTACAATTTCGGGGATGATGAGCTTCGAGTTTTGCTGATTTCGAAAGTGTCTCTGGACTGGCAAATATCAATAAAGAGGGAGAAATTACTGTACAGTATTTAAAACCTATGCAGTTGAAATGCTTGAAAGTTACCTTCATGTAGACACTGATGATTCTGCGTATTTTTGTGGTAAGACAAGAGTAATTTTTTCGATAATCGTGTGTTCAATCACCGTCCATGCACGGAGCTGCTAAACAGCGATTTGAAAAAACCCCAAAAACAATCATGATGCGCGCGGAGGTGATTCTATCAATGACTTTAAATGGAAGCTTGCTATCGATCCCCATATTTTTTTATTATATGAACACCTCGTTTACGCCATAGACATATAATAAAACCTACACAAGACATTGTCTGCTTTTATGTTGTGAATTCTGTGAACAAAGCGGGCTGCGTCACGCGGCCTGGCGCGATGCGCGAATTGTCATGTGGCTTCGATTTACGCGCATACTTCGTACGTTTACTTCGTATGTTCAGGTCGCCAACTAGACTTGGTCAAGTCTGGGTTGCGCTCGGTCAGAGCCTATAATAGTAAAGCCACTCACAGCGCATATTGCATACTTACAGTACATAACGCGCGCCCTCATGCGTCGAATCCGGACCATCATGTTAAAAACGTACATGTACATGTTATTTTCAAGTGATGCAGCAACCCAGACTTGGTCAATCTGCCAAGCGTACGCGCTGGTTTGTTCCACGTTTGTACACAGTCTATGAAAATTAATTTTTGCTGTTATTGGCTTCTACCGATTTCGGTAGGAGCCAATCACTTCACAGTATTTCAGGTAATGAGCGTTTTTATTCTTAAAAATGCGCGCAGGTTGTTTGATTTGATATTATTCCTAACGCGCAATCAGCGTTGTCTGCGTGTATTCGCGCAGCCAAAGTTTCGCGGAGAACGCATACGCATCCCATGGTGAGGAGTAGAAACAGATACACGCACGCGTACGTTCGAATGCTTTGAAACGGCTCTGGGTCGCACAACACGAAGCGCGTATCATTGGATCTCAACATCTTTTACAGGTTAACCCCAATAAAAATTCCCTTTTGTTTTGAATTACATTTGAATGTCATGTTCTGTATCAATTCCATCCAAGAGTAGCTGATCAAGGTAGCATTATCATCCAAATATAATGTGTTTGAAATCTACAAATTAAGATTACGTTTTTAAAACTTTTGCAGATTGTTATCCAGCCTTCCATACCTACTGAAAATAATAAACGAGTCTTAAAAAATTGGTTACTTTGATTGGTCAAGCGATGTTGCTGCATATGCATAGAGACGGTGTTGCATATGCATCGATGAATACAGGTGCGTGCACGCGAGGGGGGGGGGCTGATGGCAGATTGATCAAGTCGGAATTGCTAACTAAACTTTTGCACCACATGTATGCACATGCTCTGAAATACATGCACACACATATACGTATAATACGCGTATTGTACAATGTCCATACAGTGTGTACGCATTGTTTTACGGCACTGAAGTGGAACGCGCGCTGAAGTGTACCTTGTCACTGCTTGTCGGGCTTCTGGAAAGACGTAAACTAGGTGATTTTTGCTACTTTTTTTTTTTAAATTAGGATACCGACTTAAGGCAATTCCGACTTGAGTCAAGTCTAGTCGCCAACGCACTTGTGCACTACTTAGTTGTTGTTTTTTCCCACATGCGTACGGGACCAAACGATTCCAAATAACCCGCGCTGTGAGACCGCTCTCATCATGGGCTTGACGCGTCGCGCAAGATCTTGTGCGACGCGTCATGCAAATAATGAACGTTCGCGTAATTAACATTATTCTATACGCTTAGCATTTTGCTCACAGGTGCAATAGCAAATGTCGTGTCTAGGTTTTATTTTATGTCTATTGTTAATACGCACTCCTTTGCTCACGACTTAAGTTATTTTGGATGTGCACAAATCCATACTATCTTCGCGTGTACAAAAGTTACATTCTCTGTTTTGACTTCCGAACAAAATATATTCACATAAACCAGTTTTCAGATACGTTGTGTGGACTTGCCCACGTCCAAACAAGGTTTCCTTCTCTCTGGAAAACAGAGACATTTTTGGGTTAGGTTAATGTGTCGCAAAATCAAGAGAAACACTCAAGGGAATCATAGTAAAACAATTGGGTTAAAAGACTTGTCACAGTGTGAATAACATTTTTTTCACAGGTTTTCTTAACTACAAAAAATCAAAGGAATGTCCACTCCAGATATGTAACGTAAACATGCGTGAGTGTCATGAGGTGTCAGCAATGGAAATATGCATGTATCTATTTACCGATCAGAATATTTTAACCTTTCAGAGGTAATTTGACAGAAAAGGAAGCGACCATTTATCATGCGTATCTTGAAACTTAAATTTAACCCTCTCTTTCTAGTTTCAGTACGGCTTGTGAATGGGGAAGCACCTAGTGAGGGTAGAGTGGAAATCTACTACAAATGCCACTGGGGCACAATCTGCGATAGTGGCTGGAGCATCAGACATGCCCATGTAATCTGTCGGCAGCTCGGCTACCCTTCTGCATCCCAGGCCTGGCAGAGGGCTCACTTTGGCCAAGGTTCGGGGCCGATTCTCCTGAACAGTGTTGCGTGTCAGGGCAATGAATCAAGTATTGATCAGTGCCAACACAGTGGCTGGTATGGCAGCTATGGCTGCAGACACAATCGTGACGCCGGAGTAACTTGTGACTTAACATCTCCACAAGGTTTGGTACCAGATTGTATTATTTTAAACTAATAAACAAATATGGCTACAATCTTTACTTAAAATGTTGAGATGCCCATGTCATGTTGAGATTCCCATGTCATGCAAATGCCCCCCCCCCCAATCATTTAATTCGAGATTTGTACCCTAATATCTCAAATGACATATTTTGTTTTATATATTTTGGGTTTAGCCCTTCGTCGACGTATGTTACAAAGGGCCATAACTCAAGTGACATAACATTTACCTTTCCTAGATGCAAATGCCACCCATGTAACTGAGCTATTTTGCCATAACTGTTTTCTGGTCTGAATAATGTTTACACTGTCGTGGTTAAAGCTCGGGGTGTTGTGAAAAGTCAGCTGCCAATTTTCTTCTTTAATTTCCACCAACTTGTTTTATAAGAAATGAGTGTCATAATAATATGTTTTTGAACCCTCTCAGTGCTTGTAAAATATTTGTGTCATTTATATGTCATTTTGAATTACAGTCACTGTGCGTCTGATCAATGGGAACGCACCCAATGAAGGTGCAGTTGAGGTGCAGTACAGAGGCCAATGGGGGAGCGTATGTGGTTCCAACTGGAGAACTGAAGAAGCCAATGTCGTCTGTCGACAACTCGGCTACCCTTCTGCATTTCAGGCCTGGTCGAACGCTCACTTTGGGCGTGGATCTGGGCCGGTTGTCCTCAAAAATGTTGCATGTGATGGACATGAATCACGTATTGACCAGTGTGACTTTAGGGGCTGGTTGATGTCCAGCTGCAGTCATTACTATGACGTCGGAGTGACGTGTGACGTAACCACCCCATCTCCGGGTAAGTTGATGTTAATCTTCGATAACGTTAATGCATCTCACACAAATGTAAGTTCAAACGGAATGGCTGGAAACTGTAAAGAAATTTAATTTAAAAATGAATTCATAAATACCTACATACAGTTTACGCATTCCTATCGGTCGAGAGCCCGTCACGTGGCCGGTCTTAAACGGATGATAAAGACATGGCTAGCTGGTCTTAAACGCTTTTCCAGTGTCACATGAAATTTGGACTCCTATGAAATCCGGTGCCTTTTAACGTTTCATTGGTTGGACGTTCAAATTCCTTCCGTATGCATGCGCAATGTACTACCAGTGAATCAGTATTTCATGGTCCGAAATTCACACTTCACTAGCCCAGCTGCGTTTTGGGCGACATCGCGCAGTATGCGCGACGCGCACGCCAATGTCTGTATAAGGTAACGAGTTGTGGATGGGCATTCCATTTTATAGTCAGAGGGGTGTTTCGTAAAACGTGATGTAAAATTGTTGAACAAAATGGTTGGCAACGTCTAGTTTTTGACATTTTTTAAAATATTTTTGGACCGAAAGGGTATTTATGAATGGGAATACATTTGTGTTCGGTCGGTATTAAACACTCTGTTTAATACCGACATTTATTCCCTTAACAAATTATCACGTATTATATAGAAAAGGGCTACAGGATGTACCAGAATTTCCAACAAATACACTTATACAAATGTCTTGAATTTGCCTCATACAAATGTGCATTTACTGTTGTACACATATCTACCAGCCCGATACACCCAATGGACTGTCATAAGTTAATACACTATATACGGTAATAAACCAATCGTAGGAAGAGCAACACATGTGAATATTCTTATGTGTCGTGGTAGAAAAGTAATTACGTAAAAAGTTGGAAAAAAAATTGATTTTTTTTTCCCAAGAGTATTTAAAATCCTACATCGCCATCATTATCCAGTCGACTCTCGTCGGACAGCAACAGAGACACGCCATACATCACGCTCTCCCATTGCCGTCCTGATCTCGGCTGTGGAGGTTATTATAGCCCAGTGTCCCGACGCAGCTGGTCCACATAGGTTAACGTCTGCCCACCTCGAGAGGCTACTCCATGAGTGGGTTCCCATAGGATTGACTTGCAGCTATTTCTGGATGTCGTACGCAGTATCCAGTAATTCGTAGACGCCTAGTTCTAATCGCTGTGAAGATCCTTGGCAGGTTGCTGTAGAGCACCTCATTCCTCATTGTCTCTCCAACTGAGGTCTAGAGCCATCCTCAGCATGCGAGTGAGTGTAGCATCCATCGAGTCGAGCCTTTTGATTTGTATTTAGAGTCCATGCCTCAGAGCAGAAGAGTAGAATGGAATCCACGGATGCACGGAATAGAGCTCGTTAGAGTTTATCCGGCATCGTAGACTTCCAGATCTTCTTTAGGAATTGGCAAACCTTCCAAACCTGTGCTTTCCTCACTCGGATGTCTTTGCCTGTTGAGCTGATGTTGGAGTCAAGGTACTTGAAGTCTTTTTTCACAGTTAGGGTAGTGCCGTCCTTGGTGTTGATCTCCACATCCCCAGTGTCGATGTTGAAGCACATGATTTACGTCTTACTGGCATTGATCTGCGGGCCAGTCTTTTCACATTCTTCTTCCACGCTAGAAAGCAGAGCTTGCGCCTTCTCCACCGAATCCGAGACCTGAGCAATGTCGTCAGCAAAGTCAAAGTCGGTCTCTACCACAGCACCTACCCGTCTGCTTTGCCTTGGTGCGAGCATGAAACCGAGCTGCTCCCTCCCAGAGATTTCTCGCCTCAGAGCGTAGTTAAGGACGATGACGAATAAACAGGGCGCAAGAGTATCACCTTGGCTTGATCTTCAGTCATCACCTCATCATAGACCTTGTAGAGCTGCTCTTTCTCACGAACATACACGCCCTCTTCTTGTTTCTCCTCAGCAACGAAGTTGACATATGTTGCCTCCATTTCTTGTCTGGCTTGAAGGACTCTAGGGTCGTTTGAACAGAACTTGTCCTTCCTTTTGGTACAGGTGCTAGTATCGCTTGAGCAGCCCCCTCTTGAGCCTTGATGCAACGGTCGTACCTATCAGTTGCATCTGCATCCACTTCCAAAGATTCAAATCAGTTTATCCATTCCACTGTGTATACCTCTTGTAACACTCCAAAGCCTTCCATGCGTAATTGACCTTTTTCTTCACTGCTCCTTGGATACTCGCAGACTGAGTCGCACCTTGGCCGAGACTACACAGTGATTTGACCCACGCTAGCGAAGGAGTTGAAAGCCTGGGTATCTCTGATACTGTCCCTCCACTTCTTCCTTACGAGAATGAAGTCAATCTGCTGCTTGTGTTTCTCCTGGTTGTTGTCTGGGAGTGAGAGCCATGTCCAGAGTTTCTTCTTTGGGCTTTCGAAAGCGAGTGTTGACAGCTATTAGTGCATATTCTTCAATTAAGTCAAAAAGTCGCTCGCGATTTGCATTGGTTTGCTGATGGAATGAGCGGGGCACATCGTCTGTTCCCAACCGTCCGTTGAAGTCCCCGAGAACAGCTAGAAAGTTGTGTGCAGGGACTGACTGGATCGCATCGCTGAGTGTCTCATAGAAGCTATTCGTCACCTCTTCCGTCGCTTTACTGGTGGGCGAGTAAGCAGATAAGCAGATATGATAACAGTGGCTGGATTGCTCTGGATTTCACTCCAGTTAGCGCCTTCTTTGCTCTTGAACTCATCGCTATTCTTACTCCGCCACAAGCTGCTTCCCCCATTGCGCCATGCTGATGACGTCACCAGGTACCGGTTGCCGATCTTGTGGAATACAACTGTCTCAGTTGGGTCTTTGTGAATAATTCGATGTTCCTTGATGCCCGTGATCGAAATAGTCTGAATTTTCATGTTGTATGCCAATTCTTGTTGATATTTTACTTCCCTGATTGTCCGGGTATTCATTGTTGTCACAATTACATCTTTTTTTACATCTCAAAAGGTTCGCTGTGGTACCACCACACTCGTCAGCCTCTCCCCTCCCAGATGGGTTTGGGGAAGCATTATTCCCGTTGGGACGGGCACCGGATCCCGCAGCTGTGCTCCTGCTCACTCCCGGAGCTGGCAGCCGTATTAAAGATTTGTGTCGAAATAGCTGTGTCATCATCATCGTTGTCTTTCATTAGCTGGTTAAGACGGGGGTTCGCCAAGTCTCTCCGCCTCTCATGCTGGCCGTTGGGGTGAACAGTCCACCGTTTTTCCGCCCTTGCCGTTGGAGATCAAGTCTCTCTTCCTCCAAATGAGCAGATAGACAGACCATACCCGACACCTGGTATACTGCCAACTAAGACTGACGAGCTCCTCCTGCCCGGGTTTGCGATCAGAGTTCTCCTTCTCCTATATAGGTAGACTGCCGACCTAGCATAACGAGTTCTACCTACCCGAGTTTGTGATCAGAGTTGTCCTTCTCCTACATACATAATATCAAAACAAGTTTGAAATCGGTATAATTCAGCATCGTATGGGGTAAATTACAGTATGTGGTTGGGCAAAGTTTTTCTGGTTGATTTTTTAAAAACATGGTAGATGTTAAATATTTTAAAACTTTCATTTGGCTATTTCCCAGCAAAGGAACTGGGCCAGAACTGAACCCGTACCATTCTTTCGGTACGATTACAGTGGAACTGTCCGAATTTTTGCAGCTGATTGGCCCAGTTTCGGTAAGGGCTTGCATATTTGTGCGGTGCCGGGCCAGTTCGTGATGCCATTACCTGAACCAGAAGATACCAGTACTGGACCGAATCTGCGCCACTACAGAATGCAAAAATCGGTCCAGTTCTAGGTCAGTGTAATGCCTGAAATGGGCCAGTTCTGTTTCGTTTGTGCTCGGAGGGCGGCCCAGGCAATGCCAGCTGCAACTATACTGGCCCAGCACTGGCTTGCTCATGGCATAACACCGGGCGAGCAGTAGTACATTATGTCAAGACAAACAGTAGAAAGCCAGTAGTGGACCGATACTGGACAAAAACATGATGCCAGAATCGGGCCAGTCTTGAGCCGGCACTGAGTCAGTGTAATGTCAGTCTCGTGTGTACTGGGCCTTGGATGAAGGCAAATGCAATGTTAGCTGCAACTATACTTGCCCAGTATTGGCTTGGACATTGCGCAAAACCGGGCCAGTACATGATTCAATAACAACTAGAAGCACAGCGGGTTTGGACCGATTCAGGGCCAACACAATGATGACAGAATCAAGCCAGTACTGCGGGAGCGTAGATCCAAACTCAACTGAGCCAGCCAGATAATGACACAATTAACAGAAGCGGACCAGTTCTGTATCGCCTGTCCTTGACCAAATATATTGCGAGTATACTCCAGAGGAGGTTTTTGCGCATTTGAGAAGGTATTAAATGAATGACATTTTAAAAGCATGTGGTAACCACCACCCTTGCAGGCTATGGCACTTTCAAATAATTGTACTAACATACCTATACATAAATTAATATACATGCAATTATACTGGCGATGGCATAATTTCCTAACTTCAAACAAAACTGCACACAAATATTTCCGATTACCACAAACATGTGGACCCAGCAGTTTGGTACCCTCAAACCTGAATGAAGATTTCGGAGAGCAGGAACAACTGCGTAAACAACAGATCAATACAACAAAGAAACGAATAAGCTTCCATGTACAACTCGGGGACCGAATTTAACCTTTTGGTGCGATATGCATCAGCATCTGTAGAATATGCAAACTCCTTGATAGGATATCCCCCACATGCACGTTAGGACCTTGTTATTTTGATCATTTAATTCCATTAATTGTATTATTGATTCAAAATGCTGTATTTCATTGCAATACTTGTGATTCGTGGCAGTGGTTGTCCGTCTTGCTGATGGTAACACGCCGCATGAAGGGAGAGTGGAAGTATTCTACCGATGCGAATGGGGTACTATCTGTGGTAGTCACTGGGGCATCGAGGAGGCTAATGTCGTCTGTCGACAGCTCGGCTACATCTTTGCAACTCAGGCCTGGCGGAGGGCTCACTTTGGTCAAGGATCAGGACCAATTCTGTTGAATAATGTTGAATGTCGTGGCAGTGAATCAAGAATTGACCAATGCGATCATACTGGATGGTACAATCACGATTGTTTGAAACACTACAGTGATGTTGGAGTGACATGTAACGAAATGTCTGCTAATCCTGGTGAGTTGATCTACGGTGGGGTTGATAGTGAGGGGCTGTGACCAGTTACGCCAACAAACGCATTTTGAATCACAGCATGCGTCACAGCACCAAATGTTACGGAAAATGCAAATAGCACGCAGGCGCGGATCCGGGGGGGGGGTCAATCCCAAGCTCTGACTCATTATTGTCATAGTAATACATTAAAAATAATGTGCCCCCGCTCTTACACCCCCAACAGTTATGCTGCTAATAATGTCCGCCTGTGCACAAAATTCAAAAGCCAGTTGAGTTACGGGGGTATATGTGCACTATTCTGTAATGAAGTGTTACTGATGGTCAGATTTGAACAGCTACCCCATTTAAAGTATGGTACGACCCCCTATTGAGTTAACGGAGACCACACGTGTCCAGAAAAAAACCTGTCTACAGCATTGATTTCGGATGACCCCCCCCCCCCCCGCAAAAAAATCTTGAATCCACCCCTGGCTCGTTCTTTCTTGGGACGGGTCTAGCAATAACGGTATAAACAGCCGTAAAAATTAAAAGTTTTTTTGGCAGTGTATGCTTATTTAACCAACGTGTGCTACTGAAATCTAATTCTTTTTCAAAGGTTGCATCAGCTACCTTAATTTCAAATCAACCTGTGGTATTTTAATTTCAGTTCCAATTCGACTCACCAATGGCACCCACCCGTTTGAGGGTCGTATAGAAATACACCACGATGGTCAGTGGGGCACTGTCTGTGACGATGGCTGGAGCATTGAAGATGCCAAAGTCATCTGTCGGCAACTCGGTTACCCTCCTGCATCACAGGCCTGGCAGGGTAGTCACTTTGGTGAAGG